AGTGTACTTAAAATATTTTGGTACACAATTTTTAAATCCATCCACATTTAGCCTACCTTACTTATTTATGCTATGTTCATCGTTGTAGCTGAACTCCTACAAATATGCTTCTATTGCCGTTTTCTTACTACATGCTTTACTGCGAAATGTTTTTTTTGTCCTCTTTACTGACAATTTTAAACTCTCTAGACTTTTTTCATTGAAAACTAGTCTGTATGTATATCATTCCAAAAATAGCTATGGCAACTCATCTGTAATTAAGTCGCCTGAAACTTTTAAGGTTTTCTTAAATTTTCTTACACTCTGTTTTAATTTCCGTGAGAGACACTAAGGAATCCCTTCGATTTCGAAATAAATCTCGATACTTAAACATTTGAAAAGAGTTATTCGCATGAAAACCTTAAGCTCAGGCTGTTGTCTTAAGCGAATTGACACTGCTTCAAGTGAGAGTTGTCAAAGCTGTTTTGATTTTTGTTTTAAATGCTCCTAAAGGTTGGGTACAAATTTGTATACCAATATTTTTAATTCCGTGGGCTACCTCCGTAGGTGTGTATATTTACTCAAAGCTTTTTGTGAATTTTTTCTTCATTCCTGTTCCTGTAGGTAAGCAACAATAATTGCCGCTCTCTGTTGTAGAATTCAATTAAGTACTGTTCCTAAGTACTTAAACATTTCATTTTGTTAAAAAAAATTCAATGAAAATATTTTAAAATCGCCTTACAAATTTCCATTTGCCTACGTGCCCTAATTACACTTTATCGCCTTGAAGCGCACGCAAATTGCACGTTGAATTAGGAGCCTAGTTTAAAGCTGTGAGAGTTTTAAGTTGGTCAGGTTTCGAACTCGCAAGGTAGGACACGCCGTTAACGCTGGCGCCGAGGTGAAAGACGGATAATTCCTCATTATGGACATCCCTATAATGTAAGGTAAATTGTTTCTGCCTCAATTTCTACTCAAAGCCGGTAATGACGCCCAAAACCGCTTCACTGATAATATTTAAAAAAAATAGCAGCAAATCTTCCAAAACATTGAAAAATAAATCTCCCATCTATGCATTCTTAAATTCTGTTATATTCATATCATCACCGAATAGTCAGCTATAACCCCGCGAGTAAAGTGATAATAAAGGGCACAATTTTCTAGGCCATTTGAAGCACTTAAGAAGAATAACAAAAAAATATTTGTATAAAAATCAGGGCAAATATCTACAACAATAAAACAAAACGAACTCCAATAAAAGTCACAAAATATGCAAATTCTAAAATATGTTGGCCTGGCTTAGTTTTGCCCACTCAGTCATAAAACAGACCAATCAAACCAAATAAAAGCATACACTCGTATACATACTTACATATACATACACTAATATCCACGAGCGTAAACAATCCATTTGGCGCGATTTAGAAAAAAATACCATTATTCACTACCGCCCAACTAACTAACACACACCATTCGCCTACAGCGCAACACATACCGCCGCCAAGCCGCTTAACCAGACATGTCTCCAATTTCTATTTTCTATTTGCGCTTAGATTGGCCGTCAAAATGAATGCACGTTTTTGTACTCTTTAGATTTATTGTTGCTGGCAGCCGGCACACGGATTGTGTGCAATCTTTTTTTTATTATGTTTTATTAAATTTTATTTTACATTTAGAATTTTTTTTCCGAAAATATTCGCAACATTTTGTAGGTTGTCGACATTTGTTTTCATACCTTTTCGGGGAGTGGAATGTGTGTTTTTCACTTTCAACCTTTTTGTTTTTTTTTTTTTTTTGGCTACAAATCGTTTTTAGAATGTAATAGAATTTTTATATCAACTGGTCTGCTAGAAAAAGCGACGATGACTCGGGGAATCCAATAGTTGTGGCCACGTTTGCGGAAAACAGCAAAAAATTCACTAAATAAAAACTATAAAAGTTGGGTGAAAAGTCTTCCTTTTTTATATACATACGTAAATATATTTTGGTGGAAAAATGATAGGCATTAGAAAAAAGATGTGACACAAATTTTCAAGGTCATTCCAAGTCGATGCAACATTCGCAATAGCAAATCAAACCAAGCCAGGTATGGTATGTAGTAATATTTTGCGAAATAAAAAAACCAATAAAATTACTGAAGTTATTATAAATCGTGTTAAAGGCTTATCAAGGCATTCACCATGTTTTTGTTGAATAGTGGAAAAGTTGATGAACTAACCAACTCGTTGTATTTTCTAAATATAATATAATAGATCAATGTTGAATTACAATACAACTTTAAATTTATTAAGAGATGTGAATATTAAATTCATCTTGCACTATTTATAGGTTACCTTCCTGATACAGAAAATCTATTGACACTTTCAAGTTTTTAAATTAAATGCAGTAGCTTGGAAAATAATAGGACGGGAAGTGCATTAAGTGTCACTGGCAAAATTCGCTAATTTTATTATACATATTATTTTATTTTTTATATATTTAAAAAATGATCTCCAAATTACGAGGGGATCAACAAAATTTCGGTAAGTTGACCAGAAAATTTTATTCGCAATATTTGCCCTAGTTATCTTTTCTGCATAATCCCCATAGATTTAAATGCATTTCTTAAGCCTATAGATCCACTTCTGAAAACAGTTTCCAAAATATTGCTTTTTAAGCTTATCAAGTTCAGCATGAACCGCATTAATTATCACTTGTTGCTTTAAAACACCTTTCCTTTTAAAATTTTTTAATTTTTGGAAGAAACTAGAAATCACAAGGTGCTATATCCGAGGTGCTGAACGTATACCAGATATCGCAATTAAATTACTCCTTATTCAGCAGTGTGGGATGGCACGTTGTCATGATGTAAAAAATAGGCGGCCTAAATTCTCTTTCTTCCTGTTTTCCAACAAATTTTTGAAAACTTTTGGTAAGCACTCTTCGGTGTACCATTTCGCAGTTACCTTTTGACTCTTTTTTAGTGGAATAACAGCTACGATTTTAAATCGGATAAGTAAACTGGCATCATTATTTATGCTGCTTATTTTTTGTTGCTTAGATTTTATGGGTTGGGTTGCTCCAGTTGGGCACCATGGAGCGCAGTTTGGTTTTTGGATCGTACATATACAACCAAGATTCGTCGCCAGTAACGACTTTTTTGAAGTTGCTAGACTGACTATTTTTTGAATTTGTTTAGGAAAAATTGAGTTAAATGCACTCGAGCTTTTTTTTGGGCCTCATTTAAAATTCGTGATAGCCATCGAGCAGATTTCTTCGTACATCTCAGATGATTACTTAATATTCGCGGTTCAAGCCTAATTCATTAGCTATCACTTCTTATGACAAGCGTGGATCTTCGTCAATTTCGGACTTTACCAGAACTACAATGACGTAGTCAGTGGAAGATCTTGATTGACTTTCTTGGGGCACGTCCTCTGCGGAAAAGTGTCTGGTCTGGAATCTGCGGCACCACTTAGAAATAGTCTTAAAAGATGTTCTGTATGAAATTCGACATTCACTGGGTAATTGTATTGGCTGTAAATTAAACCGAAACCCGAAGAGAATCACATGGAAAATTTTGGTTTGCGTTGTTGGTGGAATTTCGTCTGGCCTATCCTTGGCTATGTTGCGTTTTTTCGTCACCATTTTGGCCGATAGTTCTAAAATTTGAAGGGAAGACTAATTAAGAAATTGGATTTGGTATTTTTAAATTTAACAACTGATCGAACTTTTGTTAATCCCCTAGTATATCGATTTCAATTTAAATATATAGATCTATTTTTATGCAAATTTGTAATAAGGATTAATGTAGAGCCTGAAGACAGTGCATTAACCATATTCCAGCTTGAGAGCGAAGACTTTGTTTAAAATAAAACATTTGTTCCGTTTAAGCGAGTTGAGCACTCAGTAAACAGTGTTCAGAGAGCGGACGCTGAACGCAATGATTAGTAATCGTTCGCCATATTTGTGAGCGTAAAATTTTATCCTACTTGCTGCTTAACGGTCAGTTGTTGTAAATCGGAAAAATAAAGTATTTAAAAGTATTTCTACTTCAATGGGCTTATGATGGTAATTTACCAAATTTTTTTGGGTTGTCAAATAGATTTATTGCAGCCATCTGCTCTATAAACACAGTTTTGCAGAACGGAGTTCAAAGGAAAGAAGCAAAAATTTTTAGGAAGAAACTGTGACCAGTGTGCGGAACATTTCAGACTTAATAGAACTTCAAAATAATAATGCGTACTAATTTTTTCCATGGCAAACACTTAATAACTTCACAATCAGTTGTTATCGTGGCCGTTTCGACATTTGATTTAGCAGCACGTAAATCAAAAAGAATCGCTCAGTAAAAGTGGTCAGTTCACTGAACGCACCTATTGTGTACTACTTTGTGATCACCCAGGGTTCCTATATTTTTGTGTACCAGTTTATTTTAAAGATCTGATAAATTCACCATAAATAATACTTTGAGTTTGTGCGAGTGGAGTAATCCTAAGTTCTAAAGTAGAGTAGTCTTCCATGAATTTCCACTTTAATAACCTAAAAAAATAATAAAAGCGTTAATTAAGGGTTTTCCGCTAAGAAAGTTTGAAACTGAGCTGATTGCGCTTTTTTATTTAATTTACCTCTATATAATTTTCTAGTCTGTACTTCTAATTAAAAACAAAATTTTACATTTCACCAAAGAGGAGCAGCAAATATATAATTGGCGCTTTGTAACCGCTGAAGCAATTTCCGGTTTTATGGTTTTACGTCTTGATGTTTTTCCACCAAATGGAGGGAGCTACAGTTTATAATATGCCGCCTCCAAACGGCTGATTGTTTTTTATGTGGAGCTTTATTTGTATATACATAAATATAAATAGCTTTTTAAATATTTGTTCTCTCTTCGATCTCTATTCCAAACGTGTGTAAAAAAATATTATATTAAATATTATATAATATATATATAATATTATATTTTTATTCTTTTCTTTTTTCTTCCATCCTCTTTCCAATTCGAATTTTATATTTTCGATTTTATAATTCCACTATCAAAGTGTGGACAACATGGCAAAGAAATTCCAGATTATAACGGTTGGCCATCAGCGGCTGCTACCCGCACTCACATGTCAGCCATCAAGCACGGATATGAGGTACATAAATATATGTACATATGTATATAATGTATGTAGAACGCATTTAAGATCTTATTACTTATCACTTACTTGTTCTTCGTCGCAGTTATTATATTTAGACACCATACCAAATAAAAATCCAAACTAAATTATATTTCTCTTTTCAACTTGAAAAATACACAAAGGTCTTAGTTTGTATCTCCAAAAATATTAACAGACTGATCAACTTGAAAGCTATAAATTCAAACAAATTGAGCTTTTGTTGATATTCTTATTGACCAGAATGATTCTGAGTTGAATGTTAAATTTTTCAAATAAATGTTTGTACAAATTTTTTTACATATAATTAATAAATCGAATTCTTAGAAGGCAGAACTTGTAAGATAAAATAATAAGCATTGAAACAGTAATGAGCTTAATTTTCTGCCGGTGGTAAAAGCTCTTTAATAAGTAGTTACTTATTAGGGTTGCTTAAACACAGAATCCCGATTGAGCACACTCTGGTCCTCTTGCCAAATTTGATAAAATTCTATATGTAAAAAAATCGATTGAAAATTAAGATGAAAGAAAAATCTGATTAACAACTGTTTACCAACCAGCGTAGAAATAAAAAAAATTGGAAATAAAAATTTTCGAATTTTCAATCAACCCAACTTTGCAAATGAAATACACAAGACATGGGATTAATTAAAAAATATGATTCTAATCATGAGTTATTCCATACTTAGCTGTGATATTCAAAATTTCTTAAATGCACGTAATGACATTTTTATGTTCAAACATTTATCAGTAAGAGCACGCAATATCTGTGCTTTACTGCTCCGTGATATAAACACACACTTCATGATTTTTCTTTTTAATGTGGTGAGTCTCTGAAACTCCCCTCCAAAGGTCTTCGAAGAATACTTTGCACAAAGGTAACTTAAAAAAATTATATCTATTGAGAAAGGAACTTACTGTGGTGTGAACTCGCAACCCTAATTTATTGTTAAAAACAATTACTGGAATCTTATTCCGATTTCGCTTATGAATGTTCGCAAATAAGAAGAAGGCGAACATTGGTAATTTCCAGATCAGTTCTGATAACCACTCTCCTGATTCTCAAATTTTTTATAACTTGCAATTTTGAAAGTGAAGTTTTTTTGGAAAAACCTTTGTCTGTTACTAAATTTATCGATTTTTTGCTAATATAGTTAGTTCTTGGATGATCACAGTAAAGTCTTTCTTACTTTCAAGAAATTTATTCAATGCACAATAACCATTATTCATTCCAAAGGGTTGGAAGTGACCTGAAAATCGAATTTCGAAAATACGGCTTTCTTTCATCGCAAATGGGTTATTTTTTCAAACTTGAAAGCTCTTTTATTTTATTAAAGCTGCGAAAATTTGGATTAAATAATAGTGCCAATATATTTCTATTAGAATTTTTTAAGACCGCGTTTAAAGATTGGCTACTAAGTGTGAAAATAAAATCGAAAAAAAAAATATTTTTCAACAAAATTGTTTTTTTTTCGGCCATATTTTGTCTAAGAAGCTTTCGACGCAATTTGTTTTGATTAAGATTAAATAAATTTATGGAATGAATCAAAATTAAAATTAATATAAAGACGTAAATCTCTTAACGAATATTATAATATATTATATATAGAAAGTTTTATTTGGTTATTAACAAATCACGTGGCCATATTCTTCTTGATAAGATGCAAATTTTCTTAAAGAGAAATTCTCTTCAAGTAAGGCGACTCTACTCTTTTCTATAAACTTAAGTTTCGTTACGTTTCTGGTTCACACAACGGTGGATACTCGTCTGTTCGGTCAGGACAGTCAAATATACTATCACATTTTTTACTTAATTCAATGCATCCACCATATCCACACTGAAATTGCTCTCTTGAACAAAGCTTATCATGTGGACAGTGATGAAACGATTCATCACTGCCATCAAGGCAATCGAATTTCTGATTGCAAGTAGAGATAGAGGGTATGCAAGCACCATAGTGACATTTAAAATCAGAGTCCTGGCATTCTGCATCACCACAATCACTTTCGTCTGTTCCATCTCTGCAATCCACCAAGCCATTGCATACGGAGAAGTCATCAATGCATTCACCATCGGCACATTTCGCTCCTTGGCAATCGTCCCCATTGGCTGAAAGTAAATGCAAAAGACATTTTTGAGTCATCTCTCTTTTTTTACTATCGGGATCCACTACTAATGATAATTTGTTGGAGTTAAGTAAAAATATAGTTTAAGAGTTAATGTTATTGTTGCATTATATAACGGGAATTTGTGTTTAATATTAACTCCAGACGTCTTGTTTAAAATCCATTGCAAACAGTCAGATTTTTAGCGGAAATATATCGTATCTAGGTTAAGTCCCTTTCTGAGTGAATTGCGGAACTCCTGCAGTGTCTTATACTCATTTACTTTTACAAAGAATCGTCTAAAGGATAATATTGAACCGTCATATGATATCTTGTCAATTGCTTTCATTAAGAAATTCCGCCGAACAATGCGACTTGCGTTGAGTTGCACCCTGTCTTTTACGAAATTCGAAGTGATGTATAGGAAAGAAGTAAAAGAGAAACATTCGATAGCAGTATTTTTTTGAAAAGTTTGACCTATAAGATGACGACATGGTAGCGTCTTTACTTGGCTTGGCTATTATAATTATTTGTGAACTTTTTTTTCATATTTGTAGATAATATTCTCGGCGGCCGCGGTAGACGAGTGATTCGGGCTCCAATCCCCGTACGACCAACATCCAAAAGTTGTGGGAAATATATTTGATTAAAAAAATTTAGTTAATTCTAATTGCGGTCGCCCCCTGGCAGGGAATGTCAACCCCTTCGAGTATATATCAGACGTGATAATCAAAAGCTCCTCATAAAAAACCATGAGCCGTTTGGAGGCCGCTTGGTATAAACTGTAGGTCCCTCCATTTGTTGGAAAAACATAAAGACGCAAAACCACAAAATGGAGAAGGAGCTCGGCGGAAAATCGCTTGAGCGATATATAAATATATATATTCTACCATTCTTAATGTGGCATTGGCCGCCTAAAAACAACAAAGCGGTTGAAAGCAGTATACACCAAAATTAGTAATAAGCCTGCTCAATATTGCATATAAGGTCGACGTTAGGAGTTTCGAGAGAAAGGTTTTACGTAATGGCAATAGCGAATACCGCAGCCGTTGGAACAGTGAACTGCCTGTGAGCTATGCGAAGATATTGACATAGTACAGCGGCTACGCTGGATGGGTTATATATTCTGAATGGATAAGACCTCTATTTCGATGGAAAGATCATGTGTGCAAGAACCTGACTACACTTGGGATATCCAGTTGGCGCCAAAAAGCGAAAAAAAGGAAGGAATGTAGTGCTATTGTTATCTGGGATGTTATCGCGTTAAGAAGAAGTCAAAAACCGCAAGACTAAAGAATATAGTATTAAATAAATAACCTTCGTACAAACATATGTCGGTCTGATTAGTAATTACTTGTTTTTAAAGAGAATTTCAAATTCAGCGGTTTCTACTAAATAAACTTCGATGATAAACTCAACGATCAACGGAAGTGAATTGTTATGAACAACTTTCGAGAAATATTGTATATGTATGTATTGTATGTTGTATATACATACAATTAAAATTAAAAAATTTTTGATCATCACCTCATATATTTTAATTTTGCTTAAAGATCATTTTTATTCTATAAACTACTATTTTCCCCTAAAACATCTGAGAAATTAAGATATTGGCTTCACATGGAGCTGAGAAGTAGTTTTTTTTCTGATTTTCTAGTATTTTTCGATTAGCTCAGAAATTCTGGGACTGATACACCTTTGGGCGGTTTAATTTGTTTTCCTTTTTATTAACAAAAAGAGCGCTTCTACATTCTATTATAAAGCGAAATCAATTTCGTAATAACAAAATATAATATTAATTAACATTGTTTTCTGGCTGAACAAACCAAGTGTCTGGTACAAATTATATTTTTCAATGTACACAATGACAATTTTCATGTCAGATTTCGAAACGGAGATGTCACTGAATTCTAAAGGTGTATTTCCGAAATAGCTTGATTCATGTGATAGATCACGAAAAATGAGCCGGGAAACCTAATAGCATCTACTACTTGTAAGCTATGATGCTACTAGCTTGCATTATTGCACTAAATAGTTCACTATCATCATCTTCTCTAAAGTTCTAGACATTTGTCAACAAAAAGCGAAGTGGTTGTATTTCGTACTAGTAATCAACTAGACCTACACATGCACGAAAAAATTAAATTAATACTAAGTTTAACCAAGCATCTATGTAAATATGTATATATGTATTTATATATATATGCACACACTTATCTAGACATATGTATGTACATATATGCTCGTTTTCAACAATACATACCGTAGATATTTAAGAGAATACAACATATTGGAAAAACTAATATAACTCGCATATTTCTACCACAAACGCACTGAATTTATTTTTCTTATTATTTGCTTATTAGCATTTGTAACCTCAAAAATGGTTACTAAAGAAAGCGGCACAACGTCTTACTCTACAGCAGCATGAGCCACTGATTAATGCGCATACCCAATAAATGTATGTATGTCAAACATGGCGGTTAACCGAGAGCTTTAATCAAATAAATATGTGTTAACTATATATTTATATAAATATATACATACATATTTATATACATATATCAGCTTACGCAGCGTTCGTAAAGAAATTCTCTAAATGAGTGATTTGTATAAAGTCTTATCGTATTTCGCAGTCTTTTTTGCGCTCCGATTAGCAACGCATAGTTCTCAATGTGAAAGCTCAGCAGTAATACTCGGTTTTCAACCAATATTGTTGCTGTTGTTTCGTGAAAGCACTTCGTTGAATGACAGTGTTATCGCTTGTTTAATATGGTTGCTGACCATGCTGATTTCTGATTCCTTTATTAGGAACACGTAGACTGACATTTTCGTCACCTAAAATTTATACTATAATCTTCACAAGATTCATTCCACGTTCATTTTACAACTAAAGGTTTTATTCTAAAGTGTAGAAACAATATTATTTGAAATTAAGGCGGGAGGGGGGTTCTACGCACTTATCGCTGAAATCTGATTCGTAATTTGAGATTTTTCGCCAAAATTACAAATTTTTAATGCAAATATGTTCATTTCCCTTTTACATATGAGTATATGGCTTCCATTATGGGTTGTGCTCACCAAAGATTTAACATACTGTGTTTACACAAAATGCAAAACGACGGATATGTCAAAGATATCGGTTGGCCAACACTGAGTCAAAAATATCGGCTATCAAAATCCCAAGAACAGTGAGATTAAAAAGTTGGCTGGAATACCGTGGTTATTACTATATCTTTTTAATATGAAAAGTCAGTGAGTTGTTGGACCAAACGTTTCTAGAAACAAGAGAGCATCTTCCCCTAAGATATTATCTCCAAAAGCTAGCTCAAAGTAGAGGACGAAACGCTGAACATTACCAGTCGATTAAGGTGCCTCACGGCAATGGGTGGAAGAAACTAAAACCATTATTTAAAATCAGCGAACTGTTCGTAAAATTATAAGCGTTATTAGCAAGGGAGCAGAATAAGCTACTCAATACTTTCGATGCGGGCGCCCGAGTTCTTATATTGGATTTCCGCTTTCAATCAACCAACTATTATCACCTCCAAAATAAAGTAAATACCCTCTTTCCACTTTTCCCCACTTGAATACGGTGCTGTTTCATCTACACGTAAACTAAGGGTAATAAAAATAATAATTAACATTTACCTCGAAAGCTAGACGATGTGGATAGCACACATGTTTTAAAGATTTAATCTACGACTCAGTATCTAGGCACCTCGCCGAACAGTTAGGAGGGTACCAAACCGATCTAACGCAGTGTTTTTAGTGAGGTGGATAGACAGGTATGGTTAGGTCCACTTATCGCACCATTCTGATTATATGAGTATACATTTTGATGGGTCTGTCTATTCTACTTTTAATATTGACTTGCTTCGGACCGATGTTAATAGATAATTTAATGTTCACGGAAGGTATTGTATAAATGGTATGCCCACACCAACGAAAGTCTCTGAAATGCAAGTGTGATTTATCAGTATATAAATCAATGCGAGTTTTGAATAACAAAAGTAAACGAATGTTTAACGAGTGTTTCAAAAGGCAATGAAACCGAGGTGATTTTTAAGGGAGGCCCCACACTCCTTAAAAATTTACGCCGCTCAGAGAATCTCTAATGGAAAACTTCTGTTGTATGTTGGATTGTGGGCGTGGCACTCCACTTATTTCAACTGTCGGCTACTGAACACATATATATATAGCGACATCTTCATTTATTTAATGTTTACAATATTTCTTTTATCTATAAAAATAACGGTAATTGATTTATTTAATCTACTTACTTTACTTTCAGGCTAAAATGAATGACCATCACAACAATTTGCAAAAAGGTAAGAGAAACATCTAACACCGAGATATATGTACATGCGCATCTCGACCGTGGTTGCCGAATTTTTAGCATTGCGTACTGCCATTCGGAATGCCCTAGTGCAAATCCTAATATGACCAATATCCAAAAGTTATAGAAAATTAATTTAAATACAATATAAGCAAAATAAATGTTTTTCTAACATAAAATAAGTGCTCCTCATCAGCCATTGGGAGTAGGGGGTAGTAGGTCCATCCATTTGTTGTATCTTCGGTCGAGCACCTCGGAACTTGTGTTTTGCGTCTTAAGGGCCACACCTAGTGTGAAATTTCAAAAAAAAAAACACCTTTAAAAATCGATATCTCAAATAGTTTTTGAGTTATAGCAATTTAAAGAGCAGCCGCTCGGTAGCTAGAGAGTCTCATGAGCTACGAGTGAAAACGATCATTTTATCTTTAAACGCGATTTTCTCGAAACAGCATTTTCCGAATTTGCTGCAATGATTACTTAAAAACAAATAATCCGATCACTATCGATTTTTTTACATGTTTTATTTATAGTTCTCCGTACAATGTCCTATCGATTTTTGTTCTGATCAAAAAACCGAGTTTCAAGATTTCATTCACGGAGAAGGCCGGAATCACTGCAGCAGTGAAGGACCTTTTTTTCTTTAAAAATTTCACTGTATATTCTTGAAACAAGTATAATTATATTCTTAAAATTTTGAAATAATTGATAAAGTATTTTTTTTATAAAAATTCCCAAAAGTCACCTTTTTTTAGGGCATTACACTAGGATGTGTCCCTTAATATTTTCCAAAAAATTGAGGGATCTACTATATATATATATATTGTAACACGTGACTGTAGATTTTAAATATCTTCCAATTTGTTTTCCCCTCTTCCTTTTCGTTCTTAAGAACTGGTAATATTCTTTAGTAACGAAAAATATAGGGCTCTGCTATTTTGATATTCAAAGAAAAATGGAATTATTTGAGATAAGTGATCGGATATTTAGTTCAATGTAAAGAGGACCGCATCCTTTTTATGAAATTTCTCATTACAAAATCGCTAAGTAGCTGCTGCATGCATGATGTCTTGAATCGACATTAGCCTTTTGGCATTGCTGTATGCCTTCAAGAGATTTACGAATACCATTTTTGTGATCCTGACTCGACGTAGGTCTATTGGCGGAGGCATTATCTTTGACGTGGCCCCAAAAGTAGTAGTCGCAAGATCTCTGTGGCCAATTACGATCACCTCTTGGAGAGATAACACGGTCCAGAAACTTTCCCCTTAAAAGATCGATTGCTTCGTTGATTGTTCGGTACGTAGTGCCGTCTAAGTGCTAAGCTGTGCATTACTGCGGAGGGAAGGTCATACATTAAAGTACTGGCCATACTACTAATTCGGTCTCTGCATTGATCACTACAACAATATCTATTTAATTTTTTCGATGGTTTGATCTAGGTCAAATCTTACGCAACTCAAGTGAATGAGTAAGACAAGAATTTATATATTATATTTATATGCTTGGGCTGTGTAAATGATGTGCTAATGGACAAAGAAGCTTTTGATAAATGAGAATAATATCCTTGTTGAGACCTTAATAAACTTCTCATGGCTCCTTCATTACTATGGTAATAATATTAAAGCTCTTGATCATATCATTAACGCGGAGCCACTCTTGCTAACTGAAGCTGAGTTGGCATTTGAAAAGATAAGTCCTCTATCGATGATGTCTACGAAACATTGGGTTTTTTCAGAGAACTTCAATGAGAAATACCCTCAGAAGCATTAGATTTTCCTTTCGAGACGGAACCGCATTAAAAACGCTTTTTACATATTGGTTTGGCAAGAACTCATGACGGTCTAGCTTTTCACACGCACTGCTCGCCGCAAGCTTACTGCAATCCTTTGAGCATGTATTGTGCATGCAAGACGTGGTTGCTCCCAATATACATTATACCACATACTTATATACGCACATTCATGTGCTTAAGATTTCCATCGATAAAATGATGAAGATTAAGATCTAATCTAATCTGCATTTAGTGCAACATTTCGTAATGACTAGATGTAAACTCAATATTTGCAACATTTAGTTGGCTAATTTAACAAGTACATCTTGTCGCTTTACATGTTGTTAGAGCGCACGCTTAAATGCTGTGGCAAGGTTGGTGGCGAACTGTAGGCCATGTAATCTGATGGTAATATCAAGACGATAAGCAACAAAGTGAGGACATCACGCACACTCCCACGCTACAGACAACATCTTTAAATGAAAAAGAAACTGCAGCAAAAAGCTCCAGCTGCAAGATTAGCCTACAAAATATAGCAAGTAATTAACAACAACAGCAACAAAAATTACGATATTTTAGTCAAGTGACAGCAGCTTGGCTTTGGTGTAATGTCGCAAAATCAAAATGTTGCAACTCCTTTGTAGCGACTTTGCTGACCTCAGAGACATTATTCCAAATTGTGCTACGAACGAACTAAGCCACATAAACCAGAAATAAATACGTACATGTGTATATAGTACGTACTTACTTATGTATATTAAGCAAAGGCTAAGTTATACAACAACAAACAACATTTGTTGCTGCTGCTCAGATTTTGTTGCTGTCTGTTGTTTTTGTAAGTATTTGCGAACATGCGGTGCTACAAGCCGCTTTACAAGATGTTTACATAAATTCCTTAAATGCAAACAACAAGCAACATGTACCAAGCGCCCCCAACAGTAGCAACTTCAACAACAAATGACAAGACCACAATGTTAGCTGCAAAAAAAAACTACAGAAATAATGTCAATACCGATCGGCCTGCAAGACTACTATCGATTCGACGCAAAAAGAATTCCAGAGTAGAAAATTTTTGTTACGCTTTTATTAATTTCAACAATCCTCATATAAGGTGCTCCCAGAGTCACTTGGTATAGTCGGACACCGAGGGAGTTTATTGTAATGATTTAAATATTTTGCACTCAGTGGCTATTGGATTAAGTTTAGAGGAGTAGGCGAATAACAAAGAGCGTTTAATATCTTCCTTATCTACCTTTTATGAGATCAAAGTTTTCTGTTTCAAAACTTTAAGAACTCTACCGAATCACGCATTTTTATATTTTCTGTTGTTTTCCCATCATTCGCTTTCATTTCACTTCTCATGTATGCAACTAGTGCTGCCGAAGCGATTTTCAGCCGCGTTCCTTCTTCCAACAAATGGAGGCCTCTAAAGTTTATTCTAAGCCCTCTCCGTTCGATCATTGAACTTTTATGAGAAGCTTTTTAATTAATGTCAGAAATTCGATGGTGGAAAGCCCTGTCGAGGAATGACCGCTATTAGAATATTTAATTTCCTATAATTTTGGATGTCAGTCGGATCAGCACTCGAACCTTGGCGTTCCAAATGCTTTATATCTTTTTGCTCGCAAGTTAATTCTTCAACACGAATTCAGGTGTACATCTATTACTTTTATAAGATGCCTATAATACAGTTCACATTAATATAATATTTGTATGTACCAATTGTTCAAACCGCTTTCTCATACTATAAGATAGCTTGATTATTGTAACACTCCCAAGTTTCTTAGAACTAATGATTCAAGATGAAAAAAATAAAAATAGTAAGAAAAAATAAAAAAAAAAAATTAAAAAAAGAATAAAAAAATAAATAAAATAAAATGAATAAAATAATACTTTTTTGAACGAGTTTATCGTTTAAAACCCGTTGTAAATACAGATTTTCTAAACTTCGATTCATATTACACAATTTACTTAATTTTGTCGCTAACTGTATGCCCTACATGTTACATATATATATTCTCATATGTACATAATGACAACAGCAAAGGTGAAATCAGTGGCGCTTGGCGACGGCGCGCCCGATAAAGATCGCTGACGACGATCGCGATTTTGGTGATCAAAATCGCAATGTAATCATGTAGCTGCCAAGCAATTTAATTGTAATTTGATATTATTGTATTTTACGGAAGCGTAAACATGTTCCAGTTTGATCCAATAATACACCATCCGCGCATAGGCGTACATACATATGTGCATATATTTATTTATATGCAAATAAAATTCTCCTATGTATGTGGAACAAGGTATATTCGTTTTACCCAAATAATTGTCGAATATAACAGCATATATTAATTTAGTTAGGAAAAAGTTAGGGAAGCAAGCGAGAAGGTCCGTATGTCTGTGTGTTCCTTGGGCAGTTGGTTAATAAAGCTTTATATGATAACCTCACTGTTTTAACACTAGAAAATGGTTTCCATTTACCCACATTTCCCTCTGGGTGTCCTCTATACAATTCAATTGGAATGCGGATCCACCTTATCTTGCCCATTAGACACCGAAAAATATAAAAAGTGCTCAAATCAAATTGCTACCATCAGATGCGTGTGTCTTCCTTAATAATCTGCAACAGTCTAATACAATAGTGAGCAGTCATCTGAATGAGTTTTACGGAATAATTACCGACTATTTGATGTTCTTTATTTCTCCTAAAGGTCATCAGTACCATCAGCACCAAGCGGTGTTAACTTTTCATTTACGTGGCACTCTCAGCTGAGTTGATACGTATTTGGTTGTTTAAAGTCTTATCTGGCTTCCTTCTAAAAAAACTTTTTTAGACACGCCCAATTATTTTCGCGAAATTAAAACTTAAGAAAACAAATATAAAAGCAGTTTTATTACCAGGCACAAACAGAGTGTTTTCAAATTTCTTTGTGCTCATCTCGTGTCTGCAAATTCAAAAATCAAGCTATCATTGATGGAATATATAGTTTAACTCACATCTGCTAATCTATTTCTTTGTTCTACTTGACTTTTCATTAAGTATATGCATTTCCATTTTCGTTTCTATTTCAGGGCACTTTCTTGATGACAACCGACTCATCGATCATCACAGCGCTGTTACACCGCAGGGTAATCATAGTAGCGGCATGCCGACAGCTGCCTCTATTTACGGCCCCAGTGCTGCATTAAGAGCCGTTGCTACATCGAACAGCAATTCGCCGAGCGGGGGTGGCGGTAACGGTGGTTGCAGTTTGGTGACTGCCACTGGTAGTCTTGGTATAATCGGCGCAACTAATGGCAGTCTTGGCGGCAGTAATAATGTTGGCGGGGGAACTATTGTCGGTCTTAGCAGTACGAGTATAGGCCATCACGCCCCTACATCGGGCAATCATATGGCGCATCATCACAGCGCCGCGTCAGCAGCAGCATTACTGGTTGTGCCACAACCGATTAACGCTAGCAAAATAAATGCCTCACTGGGAGCCGGCGGCAGTGGAACAGGAAGGAAGTATCAGTGCAAAATGTGTCCGCAGGTAAGTTCAAATAATTATTTATTTTGAGCTAGTCAACCGATTCTGTAGCGCTCAGAGACTATTTAGAAAGAGGGGAAATATATTTTTCTGGTTTTAAGTTTTACACGATTTAACAACTTTTTGTTTGTCAAAATCGAGTACATTAATATCTGATGTTCTTATTAATGTTAAGTTTTTGTATGCTATAGCATAAAGTTTTGGTTACTTTTAAAGTCTTTCCAATTGACGGATAAGTCTTCTTCAAACTTCACATTTTCCAGTTCTAGTGGAATAATTTGTGGTAGGCATAAAACGAAAAAGTATATTCTCCTTACCACGATTTTATAGGTGATCGGCAGCTGATATAACTCTTAAATAATTTGACATCAATGGAAATACTAAAAGCTGTTCAAGGCATCGAAATCGATTCCTCAATCGATTTTGAATATCTCATTTTATCATATGGAACCCAATATAACGAATTGAAATTATATCGTGGCAAGTTGAGGGGAAATCCTTTTCTACCGTAATTTTCTAACGGAATGGCGATCTTCTTTTCTTCTGTATCTACTTCAGCGCTACTTTCATAGACAGAGAGTTTGCGTTTGTCCGGACGTCTTGCCTTTAAGAGATTGTCGCCATATATCGCGTACTGTTCATGGCTGGATCAAATGTGGTGTTCAACGTCACCGAGTCTTTAGTATTTGTTCGGCGCGAGAGGACTTTACATTTCAACTGTCCACTTAGCCCAAAGTAGCTGTTGATGACAAGATTGATTTCACGTCGGTTGGCATTTATGTTGTTGTTCCAATTAACTTCGAAACGATGACTGTCAAGAGTGATATAAAAGCCAAGACAGAAGATGAATTGTCTTGTCCCCCCATTCACTAACAGATTCATTGACTGCAAAAATTTCCCCTCCATGAACTCAATATGTTCCGATGATCAGATACGTATTTCAACCCCCCTTTTCCCCTTATGCACATGCGCTGCGATTCCCTATTAAAATACATATGCGAGCTGTCAAAAAGGAAGAAACTCAGAAAAAAATTCGGCACAACCTATAAGGTCATCTACTGGACATCTGAAAACTCAGCCGCACACCTGATGGCTCTACTTCCTAGATCATCTATATTAAACTTTTAGTTCTAAATTTAACGTCATATTCAATTCAATATCCATAGTCGGCACTTGTATGATTGCGAAAATTTAGACATAACATATATAATAAAGCGAAAAAGGTAAGCTTTGTAATGCATTGGTTTGATTTCTTCATATATTTCCAACATTACTTTGTAGAGCTTTGAATTTTTGATAGTTGATACAGAAGTATGGGCTTGATATTATTCTTTATATTCACGACCAAACTACTACTTCTAAATCCACCTCTTTAGAACAAGTTAAAACCTGCTGTAGACATTTTAAGATAGTTCTGGATATATGTAATTGCATATTGTCTTCCTATTTTTATTTATGAAGAGATCATTGACAATTATACATTTCTAAGTCGCTGTGTAATTTGACCTTAAACACCAAGTTCTTCAAAAACCACTGAGAACTCTTAATGGTGTTATAACATTATGCAATAAAAATAAATTTTTTCATTTATGGCAACCTATTTGATTGGATTCATTGAATGATTTATTTATTGTGATAGCATAACGCATTAATCTGAAAATTAAGTCGACCTTTTGTCACCAACTGTAACAAGTCTAACCGTATGCAGGCACATGCACCCATCCATTTACAGTACACTGAAAACGGGTAAAACCCTGCTCTTTATAGAAATTAGTATTTATAAAATCAATAACGGAACCCACAGGAACGATTGATTCCATATAAGTTTTTTGTATATTCCTGATCCATCGCTTAGTATTATGATAATTGCAAATATATGGGTGTTTGCACTCTTCAAATATTTCATTGGCGCATAGACTTGCTGTAAAAGAAAGCAGAATACTCTGTAGAACTGAAAGAAGGTACACATATTTTGAGAGCAACTTACAGCACTTTGGCAGCGACATACGTTTTTCATGACTCCAACCATTTGTGCCACATATCGTTCGATTTTCGCCTTGCAACTTATAACCATTACTGCAACTGAAAGTCACCTCTGAGCCTTCGGGATACATTTGGTATTTTGGCCGACTTCGATTAGTTATTTGCTGATCGGAATTTAACGACGAATGATGAAGTGTGCATTTCAAAGGGTTCTCACATTTTGGTATTAGGTCGGCTTTGCAAGTGACTTTTTCTGGAACAAGTTAAAATTAATAAATAATAAAAGAGTATTTAAATATTAATATGCAAAAAAAAAATATGCTACTGTCAATTTGGTGCGGGCTCCTTTATTTAAGCTAAAGACAGAGATAGTTTTCATAGTGGAAGAATTTTTACACCAAGATTAATTAGAACGTATTTGCTTTTTGTGTTTAAATTGGGGTGGACAATTGTCTAGTCCAGATCTTCAGCTTTGAAAGTATGCGACTCAGTATGCGCCGGTGGAAGCAGAGGGAGACAAAAACCTCCACTCCGTTGCAAGAAGCAGGTGGCGAAACTCTGCTTATATTTTTTAATGTATGACCAACTTTGGGTATGAAAAACTTTTCACAGAGTGTCCAGATAATGATAATAATTTTCATTAGGAATGGTATAGCTGAAATCGTCCCTTCGTTTTTTGAAACCAAAATTATGAAGAGAGGGATAGGAAATGGAACACGATTTATTGATTTCCAAGTATACTCCTGCCTATGTTGTTACTATTCGATAATTCTCCTTTATTGAATGGAGAATTCTTTGAAGTTAGTTCCACAGAAATTTCGGAAAATATTGTTACCATAGCAATATCTACTGTCATAAGCACAAGATTTCATTTTCTTAAAAAGCTCTTATTCCAAATACTGTTCTCAGTATATTTCTCTTTAACTCTGACATTCGCTACTGCCCAATTATTACTTTCCTTCTTTTTCTAAATGAACACATGCACATATAATCTGTGCATATGGCAACACTGCTAGTCAACGTCCTATTAAATTCTATTTGTTCAAGTTTCAGCTTAAAATTCCAATTAAAGCTCCAAAATGATGTGCTTTTTGAATAATGTTTTTTGCAGTTTAAAGGATAAGGACAATTGTTGAATAGACTTGCATCACAGGGGTTTGGTATTTTTCCTTTAATGAAAATAATGCAAAATAGATTTATTTTATCGAATTCTCGCACTTACTGCATGAAGGTTCAGCATTATCCCAGCCATAAGTTCCGCATGTTGAGCAATTCATTCCTATCAGTTCATATCCGCTTTCACAACTAAATTCAACAAAAGACTCTTCTCTGATCTTATAAAGCCAGTGATTAACGAAATGAGGGCTGTAGTCTCTTAAGATGCCTGTGTTTGAATCCAAAATTTTGCACTTCAGTGGCGCCTCACAATTGTGGAATCCTTTTACCCTACAATAATTAACTGTAAAGAAGGTTTGCTTTGTGTTAACAGATGGAAAACAAAGAAATTTGCCAAAAGCGCCCGCCGCAACAATGTACAACAACTTACCACACCGGGGTATATTTCCTTGCCAACCATTCATCTTACATTCTCTGCTATTTGCACCTTCAAGCTGGTAGTCCTCACCACAAGAAAACGTAATGCTGGAGTATTCCTTAACAAATTCCCCATAAAAACTGTAATTGATTTTGATAACAGTGTCATTCCTGGGTTGTTTGTAATAGCATGTAAGTGGATATCTGCAAGCGACCAAGAAGTCAACCTCACAATATGGTGCTAATAAAAAAATTTAACGCATGAAAATAATATAAATAAATATACATATATGTGTGTTGTATTTGAACACCTACTGCAACTTGGCGTGTCATGGCTCCAACCTGCGGCAGTGCATATTTTGCGATCCGCCCCATCTAAATAATGACCATCTGCACAAGAAAATTTTACTTCCGACCCTACTTCAAGTGCTAATCTGCCTTGCTTATTAATTGCACTACCTGGATTAACCCCTGGTGGCATTGCAAGTGCGCAAACCAAAGGATATTCACAGCCTCTTAGAGTACACACACTTTTGACGACGTCTATTGTTTGAATTTTGGATGTTGTACTGGCCACTTGAGTTCTTAGAGCGCTATGTGCTTGATTAAATGTGGGCGGCATTTGACTTGTACTATATAGGAACGTATCTGTTAAAGGGCCTTGAGATTTATATATGTTTGGGTGATTATAAGCCTTATTGTCTTGGACTATAGTTTTGTTAGTCTTTTCTGTTGGCCTTGACGGTGTATTCGTTGGAACTTCATCTCGAGCATTTGTTGGTTTTATTAATGGCTTTATTAGGTGTTCATCAGATGTGGTGTTCTCTTCTAAAAGACTTGTTTTTATAATAAAGTCACTAGTCGAGCGGCTCGGTTTTGCAGTAGTGTTTGATAACGCGAGTTTGGAAACAGGTCTTGGTTGGACATTTTTTGACGGTAGTGGACTTTCGATTGCTGCATCTAACCCAGGTTGTGTCAAGTTCATTTTCAATACAGGCCGAATGGGTTTTATGTCTGTCGTTCTTAAAGTTGATTGCGTAGTTGATCGCTCGTTTTGCAGCGTTGAGTAATCAATAAGTGAAGGTCGTGAAAATGCACTTTCAGTTGTTGTATCTATATGCTGAGGAATCGCAACTGCAATTCCTGGTTCCCGAGTTATATGATCTACATTCGTATGAGTGGTGACCTCATTATGATCATACTTGGGATTTGTTTTGACATCGGTGTTATCCTGAATCACTCCAGCATTATCCGAATTAATATTTTTATTGTTATAATGGTTATTTTTGCCTTCCTGAGTCGGAGTCGTGTCCATGACTTTTGTGCTGAACTCAGAAACATATTTCTCATCATTATTATTTTCTAAGGGTATAATCAAATCGGTTGAATTCGTATCGGTGACGTTACTGATATCATTTTCGTATGCGGTTATCGTTGTCATTGCGCTGATCGTTGTTGCAGTTACTGTTTTTGCTGCTTCTGTTGCACCGTCTTCTTTGCAAAGATTTTCCAGCTCATCGGTGCCATCCAAGCATTCTATTGTTCCATTGCATTTAGCTGTCAAAGGAATGCATGCACCGTAACCACATCGAAACTCTTCTATTTGGCAAGGTATTGCCCCACAAAGGACCTCGGTTTCATCACTGCCATCCGCACAATCACGAATGCCATTACATTTATCCTTGATGTTAACGCACTGCCCCGACCAACATTTCATCTGCCCCCAACTAAAAGGAATAAGCGAAATTAATTACGTGAGAATATGAGAATTATAAAAATTATTATTTGAAGAGAACTCAAGAGTCTATATCATAACTCTCCTCGTGAGCTGCAAGTTAGTCGGTCTTTAGGTTATCACAACTATTCCGCAAAGCAAGTAAGAAATAACTTTTCAAATGAATTAGTATTTAAAAGCGAACAGAAGAGATGGGTTGAGGCAACCGATTCTTAGGAAAACATCGTATATCTCTGATTAAGCAACACGAAAAATTATACAATTCGAATTAGATCCACGTTGAAAAAGTTGAAGGTTTTAGTTTTGCGTAAGCTTCTATTTATATACGCAATAAGCAAATTAGTTCTTTGCTTTAATTATTTCATTGCATTTTAAATAATTTAATGGAGGATAAAACTATGGAGGACGTATGTAAATAGTCTTTTGACCTTCAGCCGACATTCGATATAGGAGAAATATGGTTTAATCACAAACTTCTATAATATTGTGGGCTACATTGAATCTCTAAGTTCACCTGATTAAAATTCTGAAAACCGCTCTTATTTAGATCTAAGATGCTATTTCTTAATTTTTATTTCTAATAACTTAACTCTGACGGAACCGTAAACCAAACATTAGATACGCAACCCACACGGGACGGACGGATTGTGAACCTAGGTCACAGAATTTCGATGCATATCCCTCAGCCCTTAGGTAGAATTATTTATTGCTGGAATAAATATGTTGTGCCTATAAAAGCGGCTACAAAGCATATATATGTGTATATATACAGTGAAATTTCCCTTAACGGGCACTTTAATTAAACTGACACTTTTCCGATTCCATTCAACCTTGTCATATTTGCCATACAATTCACCTCTGATAAACAAGCACCTCTATTGGCGAGAAAATCTCGCCTGGAATAAATTTTTGTATGAGAATGCACCTCTTTATGCGGGCATTCAGGTAAAAAAGAATATTTTTTTTCTAAGTTAGCACGCATATACAAATGCTCAATAATTTGTCCACAGGAACACTTTCAGCGTATGCCAGTGGCATATACATATATGGGGCGTGAGCAATAGCAAACACTGATTAACCTACGCTATTTAAAACTTCTATTAACCCGTCACCTCTTTTAAGCGGGCTCGCTACACGGTACGAGTTGCAGAAAAAAACACAACAACTAAATACCAATCACAATGAAATGAAGGTATTGATAATATCAAAAATATTTTACTTAAAACAAAAAGTTTTGGTAGGTCTTTACTTTACCCAACACAATTCATTCGACTAGTTTCGTCATCAACTTCATAGTCCGGCAAATTATCACGTCGTTGGCGACAATAATTAATATCTTCATCGGAAGAGTCCGTACAATCGGGCACACCATCGCAAACCTGTAGAACGGAAATGCACGCTCCATATTTACAACGAAACGATAACGAAGAACATTTCATATCCTTGCATGACTTTTTTTTCTCGTCCGAGCCATCTCGGCAATGTTTCGTACCATCACACAATTGATCAATCTTAATGCAGGCACCTGAATCGCACTTCCACACATCATTTGTTTGGCTGCAATTAGCTGCGTCCACTTCGGTTAATAATTAAAGAAACAGTAAATTAAAATTTAAACCTTGGGTATTAGTTTTAGTTTTATATGCCAATTCAACTCAAAACGTTGTTGATGTATGAAAGCAGTGCATACTTCACATGCAAGGTGGAACATACCGTCTCTCAAAAATCCACTCGGATATACACCAAGTAGGAGTAACAAGTAATAAATCGGCATTTAGTACAAATTATGAAAAATGCTATTGAATTTGGAATGCTTTCATATGAAAATTTATAGTATACTGATTTTAATACACTGATTGCACTTTTAACCAAGCGTATTCAAGCTGTATGTGTTATCAGTGGGGAAAACCGAGGTGCTGACCAAATGGTTGCCAGATATCTAATCGCAAAACCAACACTTCATACATTTCAAAATTATAAACTCTACTTGAATGAACTGAAATGGTTTTGTTAATCATACATTATTATGAAATGGTTCCTTTATTTTTTATCATGTATTAATATTATTGATCTCATTAAATACCAAGTTTATCAGTAACTTAAAAATAAAAAGATATTGTTAAAATTATTTAACGCTATTAGGATGACTTTCGGTTATATATTTTTTTAAGATGATTACAAAAAAATTAAATGATGGCAACATCGCCAGTTTCGCTTCAATATTTGATTTCTGGAAAAACTTCACACATGCCCTTACTTATATAATAATAATAATAATAATAATAATAATAATAATAATAATAATAATAATAATAATAATAATAATAAAAATAATAATAATAATAATAATAATAATGCATATCTATATATGTAGTGAATTTATTTAATGCGAAAGAACTTATGGATATTTGAATTTTTAAGAAAGAAATTTTACCAAAGCTTTATAGCATTTATAAGCGGCGGCCTATTTTATTTAATCAATTGACCTTTTTCTTATATTCAACATGCTATAACTACAAATATTTCACCTGAATCCACTCTACGAGTATTCTTGTCATAGCGTTTGAAATTTATAATTGCTTACAAGGAAGAAACATGATGATCTGGTTGATTCTACTCTACGACTAAACCCTTCTCTGATCAATGAGAACAGTGACAATTGTGTACAATTAAAGTTCCTCATTTATTGTAACCCATTTGATTGGTTCAGTAAATAAGACACATATATTTATTGAATGATTTATTTATTAGCATAACGCATTAATCTGAAATTAAGTCGACCTTTTGTCACCAACTGTAACAAGTCTAACCGTATGCAGGCACATGCACCCATCTCCAATTAAAGCTCCAAAATGATGTGCTTTTTGAATAATGTTTTTTGCAGTTAAAAGGATAAGGACATTTGTTGAATAGACTTGCATCACAGGGATTNAATCTGAAATTAAGTCGACCTTTTGTCACCAACTGTAACAAGTCTAACCGTATGCAGGCACATGCACCCATCCATTTACAGTACACTGAAAACGGGTAAAACCCTGCTCTTTATAGAATTTAGTATTTATAAAATCAATAACGGAACCCACACGAACGATTGATTCCATATAAGTTTTTTGTATATTCCTGATCCCTCGTTTAGTATTATGATAATTGCAAATATATGGGTGTTTGCACTCTTCAAATATTTCATTGGCGCATAGACTTGCTGTAAAAGAAAGCAGAATACTCTGTAGAACTGAAAGAAGGTACACATATTTTGAGAGCAACTTACAGCACTTTGGCAGCGACATACGTTTTTCATGACTCCAACCATTTGTGCCACATATCGTTCGATTTTCGCCTTGCAACTTATAACCATTACTGCAACTGAAAGTCACCTCTGAGCCTTCGGGATACATTTGGTATTTTGGCCGACTTCGATTAGTTATTTGCTGATCGGAATTTAACGACGAATGATGAAGTGTGCATTTCAAAGGGTTCTCACATTTTGGTATTAGGTCGGCTTTGCAAGTGACTTTTTCTGGAACAAGTTAAAATTAATAAATAATAAAAGAGTATTTAAATATTAATATGCAAAAAAAAAATATGCTACTGTCAATTTGGTGCGGGCTCCTTTATTTAAGCTAAAGACAGAGATAGTTTTCATAGTGGAAGAATTTTTACACCAAGATTAATTAGAACGTATTTGCTTTTTGTGTTTAAATTGGGGTGGACAATTGTCTAGTCCAGATCTTCAGCTTTGAAAGTATGCGACTCAGTATGCGCCGGTGGAAGCAGAGGGAGACAAAATCCTCCACTCCGTTGCAAGAAGCAGGTGGCGAAGCTCTATGTATGACCAACTTTGGGTATGGAAAAGTTTTCAGAGTGTCCAGATAATGATAATAATTTTCATTAGTAATGGTATAGCCTGAAATCGTCCCTTCTTTTTTTGAAAGCAAAATTATGAAGAGAGGGATAGGAAATGGAGCACGATTTATTGGTTTCCAAGTATCTCCTGCCTATGTTGTTACTATTCGATAATTCTCTTATATTGAATAAAGTATGCTTTGAAGTTAGTTCCACAGAAATTTCGGAAAATATTGTTATTATAGGGATAGAAAAGTTCTTTGCTGCAATATCTACTGTCATAAGCACAAGATTTCATTTTCTTAAAAAGCTCTTATTCCAAATACTGTTCTCAGTATATTTCTCTTTAACTCTAACATTCGCTACTGCCCAATTATTACTTTCTTTCTTTTTCTAAATGAACACTCTTATAGATTATATGTGCATATGGCAACATTGCTAGTCAACGTTCTATTAAAGGACAAAAACTTCTTCAGTCTAACCTGATCTAATAAGGGTCATTAGTATTTGCTACGACTAGCGTTTCACCACACTTTCTGTTAAATTTAAAGCTTAAGCCGTTGCTTCTCGGTAACTGAAAGACTTCTCTGATAATTGAAAGACTCGCATCCGAGTTATACACTAATGAAATATGTATGAGCTTGTGAATATTACACGAGAACTTGGTATGCCCGGACCCTAAACTTCCCATGTTCAAGAACTCGCACTCATCTCCTCTGCAGGACCGTTCTATTGCCGTTTGCAAAAATGGATGTTCACATAATACGAGTACAATAATTAACTTATTTGAATACATACCAACACATTGGGGTATGACATTGTCAAATCGTGTTCGTGTGCAAGTTAAAAACTTGTCACCTTTCAACACATAACCCTCTGGGCAACTAAATTCAATTTGTTCAAGTTTCGGCTTGAAATTCCAATTAAAGCTCCAAAATGATGTGCTTTTTGAATAATGTTTTTTGCAGTTNCTTGGTTGGACATTTTTTGACGGTAGTGGACTTTCGATTGCTGCATCTAACCCAGGTTGTGTCAAGTTCATTTTCAATACAGGCCGAATGGGTTTTATGTCTGCCGTTCTTAAAGTTGATTGCGTAGTTGATCGCACGTTTTGCAGCGTTGAGTAATCAATAAGTGAAGGTCGTGAAAATGCACTTTCAGTTGTTGTATCTATATGCTGAGCAATCGTGTCCAGATAATGATAATAATTTTCATTAGGAATGGTATAGCTGAAATCGTCCCTTCGTTTTTTGAAACCAAAATTATGAAGAGAGGGATAGGANTGCCATCCGCACAATCACGAATGCCATTACATTTATCCTTGATGTTAACGCACTGCCCCGACCAACATTTCATCTGCCCCCAACTAAAAGGAATAAGCGAAATTAATTACGTGAGAATATGAGAATAATAATAATTATTATTTGAAGAGAACTCAAGAGTCTATATCATAACTCTCCTCATAAGCTGCAAGTTAGTCGGCCTTTAGGTTATCACAACTATTCCGCAAAGCAAGTAAGAAATAACTTTTCAAATGAATTAGTATATAAAAGCGAACAGAAGAGATGGGTTGAGGCAACCGATTCTTAGGAAAACATCGTATATCTCTGATTAAGCAAGACGAAAAATTATACAATTCGAATTAGATCCACGTTGAAAAAGTTGAAGGTTTTTGTTTTGCGTAAGCTCTATTTATATACGCAATAAGCAAACTAGTTCTTTTCTTTAATTATTTTATTGTAATATAAGTAATTTTAATTAATTACATTTTTCTGAACAAAGCCGACATTCAATAAGGATATAGGAAAAATATCAGTCAATTACAAACTTCGATGATATTGCATTAGTATACCTTTCGAAAATTTTTAAACCGCTCTTGTTTAGATTTAACAAGATATTTCTTGGGATTTGTTTTTTTCTCTCTTCTGAATGAACTGACAGACATCCATATCTTTTTTCTTAATAACTGTGGAGCATTAAATTAATTAATTAATTAAATTAATTAATTTCATTACATTAAAAAAAAAACTAAACTACAATCACAATTAAATGAAGTTATTGATTACAACCTTAATATTTAACTTAAATAATAAAGGTATGTCTTTAGTTTACCCAACACATCTCTTTCGACTAGTTACGTCATCAACTTCATAGTCCCGTAAATTATGACGGCGAATAAAATTAATAGTTGCATCAACTTCTGTTTTTAAACAAGAAAGCAAAAAATTCGATTGAGAGTTTGGTTATTAGTTTTATATGTACGCCAATCCAACTCAAAACGTTTGAACGTACCTTCTTTTAAATAGTCACTCAAAAATATACTAGGTAGGGTAATAAGTAATAAATGGAAATTTAGTGCAAATTATTAAAAATGTTATTGTGTTTTGAGTGTTTTCTTATACTGGTTTTAATACACTGATTGCACTTTTAACCAAGCGTATTCAAGCTGCATGTGTTATCAGTGGGAAAAACCGCAAATCTGACTAAATGGTTGCCAGATATCTAATCGCAAAACCAGCATTTCTTGCCTTACAAAATGGTCAACTCTTTGAATTGAAGTGGTTTTGCTAATCATGCGTTATTTTGCAATTTTTAATTAGAAGATTATTTTTTTTTATATAATCAATAATATTTACTTGCAATTTCTCCTGGGTTTTCATCAGCGATTAATGTTAATTATTTATTTAAAAAAAAAAAACTAAAAATTAATTATATAAATGGTTTAACGTGATTAGTGTGACTTTTGGTTTGACATTTATTTCTTCGGAAGACAAAAAATAAAATGATGGCAACATCACCTGATTCGATTCGATGTTGGATTTCTGGGAAAAACTTAATTTTGTGTGAATATATGTGGGCACATGTACTTACATACCTAATCATAATGATAATAATAATAATAATAATAATAATGGAAATAATAAGAAGAAATATCTATATATGTAGTGAATTTATTTAATGCGAGAGAACTTATGGATATTTGAATTTTGCAATCCAATTTTTAAGAAAGAAATTTTACCAAGGCTTTATAGCATTTATAAGCGGCGGGCTATTTTATTTAATCAATTGATCTTTTTATTACATACTATACGCTATAACTACAAATATTTCACCTGAATATGGTGTCTATAGAATTTTGTACCGGTATTCAATCCAATAACAGAGCATGGCCATCCGAGAGTACTAAGTAAAGGTTACAAAAGATTGCGATAATTTGTTATGAACGTTTTTTTCGCGATTAATTTAATTATTTGCCGCAGGAAGAAATATATACATATATATAACATTTAATTCATTTTCTTTTGTTATTCTTGCCAAATAGCACCATTGCTGCCGAGCGCATATTATATCTGATCTTAATTTAACATTATGCTTTCTAAAAATATTAAAAATAAATATTAAGTATTGACCGTGAAATTTAATTTTTGTTATGCATAAACTATACATATATTAGATACATAGATATTTAGTAAATAAATTACGTAGGAATATGTGAATTGTTAATCAAATGCTAAAAGCCAAACAAACATTTAATATATCAGAAATCTATTGAAAAAGTAGTTGACGAAACTTTTTCACAAAAAAAAAAAAAATTGGAAGACTTTTAAATTTTTCCTTTTGTCAACTTTCATCGTTTAGTGTTTGTAGTACTGACCATAGAGAGACATTTTAGGAGTAATATACCGTTAAGTTCATGCTGATAAGTTCAATAGGTTCTTAATAAGAGTGTCGCCCAGTTGAAATTGAGTGATTTCGAGAAAAAGGCGATTAAAGTACTCGAGCGGCCGGATTTACCGCCTGTCGCACCGCTCTCCCCTCTTCTGTACTTACTTCTAGGTCTTGCGTACCTTCGGGAATAATTCTATATTTTTTTCTAAGAGTATTTTCTAGCAATTTACAGGATAAAAAAATCTCGATTTTTTAGAGGAACCTGGCCTTAAGTGTTTAACCAGCTAACCAAACAATTTTTACAATTTTTATTTACGGCATTAAGAATACATACATATATGCATATACAGCTCAAAAATTTTTGGTGTAATTGCATTAGCATTAGATTTTAGTTATTAAGGTTAAATTATAGCATATATATAAATTAATTAAATATTTATTATCTTTAGTTCTTTCAGAGATGTAATTTCTTTCTCATATTCGACGTATGAAATTCAAGAAATTGATAACCAAACTTTGGCTTTATAAGTTAAAAAAATATTAATTGTAAATGTTTGTATATAATTTTACAGGCGGGAAGACTAACTAATCCAAATAAAACCTCCCTGAATCTTATTGTAACCAACGGTTTTCCGGAATATTCCCTTTAGAAATTGGCAACATAAAGAAAAATCTAACACTCGGAAAGATATTATTATCGGGAATTCCCAGAACTCATTCGCCACAAAACGGATGTTTTGAGAATTTTGGCTTTATTGATATTTAAGTCACGAATTCCATTCACATGAGTAGCTGTAGTATACATAACTACATGCATATTTGCTTATGCTTATGCCTATCTTTATGTTGAAGTACATACATACGTGTATGTTAAAGTATTGCACAAATACAAGAAAATATTTTACTTTATTTTATTATGCACGTCGTATGCAACGAGCAACACAAGTAAGCGATTTCAAAATTAAAATATATTATTTAAAAGCAAGAATTATTACTGGATCATTTATATAACCGTACATACAATTATGTATGTTATAATATTAGTTTCCTTTTAAAATCTAAGAGTATCGAATTCTATTTTACCGTTGAACGACACACTCCTTGCCGCTCCATATATCAGTATACATAAATATAATAACAACACATTTGAAAGATTAGTTCAAAAGCATGATTTAGAATAACTTATGCTAGTTTTTGTATAATATTTTTTAAAGAAGTGTTTCTAATGCTACTTGTTGTTTTTATTAACACAGTGTTCGAATAAGTTCAGTATTTTGTTATTTCATGGGCGAAATTATAAAAAGGAGTTGATTTTTGATCAAACAAATCAGTTTTTGGTAGCATTTCAGGAAATTTAATGAGGAGTTCAAAAAAAATTGTTTCGAAATTGTTCCAGAATCCAGTTACGCTGGAAAGTTCAAATAACGAAAATTTTGAACGTAATTTGACTTTTTTTTAATTCCATGAGCCGATAAATCACTAACAGCTACGAATGTTGTCTAAAATATATCCGTAATCTAAAGCAATCGCGTCATTAATTCTTGAGAAAAAAAATTTCTTGTTGTAGATAGAATTTATATTTTTTTAAAAACCATAACTCGTAATTTTACCGCCTTAAGGTTTAGTTGAAAAATATAATTAAAAGCGATCCTGTATATTTAGCTTAAACGAAGAAGTGGGTTAGCTAAAACATGAAAAGCTTCAAGTAAATTTCTAAATAAGAGTTGTATTTAAGTGGTAGCTCTGGAATAACTGGATACCATTGCCTTTTATTACTTTAGATTTTTGCATTTCAGAGCAGCATTTCGTACCTCCATTTTCCTACATATTCCCATTGTATCTACTCAAAATACCATTACCTGAATGCCTTAATAATAAGAGCTGCAGAGCTGAATAGAGTTCATTCTATAAGAGTGTACAACTACTGGCGTACGCCGATGATGTTGACATTATCGCCCTCAACAATCGCGCCGTTAGTTCGGCTTTCTCCAGGCTTGATAAAGAAGTGGTCTGGTGCGAACGAGGACAAGACGAAATATCTCCTGTCATCAAACAAACAGTCATCGAATTCGCGACTTGGCTCCCACGTCACTGTTGACAGTCATAACTTTGAAGTCGTAGATAATTTCGTCTATCTAGCAACCAGCATTAACACCAATAATAATGTCAGCCTTGAAATCCAACGCTGAATCACTCTTGCCAAAAGGTGCCATTTTGGACTGAGTAGGCAATTGAAAAGTGAAGTCCTCTCCCGACGAACGAAAACCAAACTCTACAAGTCCCTCATCGTTCCCGCTTCTCTCTATGGTGCGGAAGCGTGGACAACATCTGATGAGTCGGCGTTGAGACCTTTAGAGAGAAAGGTTTTGCGTAAGATTTATGGTCCTTTGCGCGTTGGCAGCGGCGAATATCGCAGACGATGGAACGATGAGCTGTGCGAGTTATGCGGCGACATTGATATAGTTCAGCGAATCAAGAAGCAGCGGCTGCGCTGGCTAGGTCATGTGGCTAAGATGAATAATAACACTCCAGCTATGAAAGTTTTCGATGCAGTACAAGCCGCCGAAGCAGAGGAAGAGAAAGACCTCCACTCCGTTGGAAAGACCAGGTAGAGAGGGAACTGGCTGCACTTGGTATTTCCAATTGGCGCCAGACAGCAAAAAAAGGAAAGGAATGGCGCTTTGTTGTAAATCGGCTATAATCGCGTAAGCGGTGTCTACGCCAGTGAAGTAAGTAAGTAAGAATGCCATTTTGCATATTTTCTCTTTTGCATGATTTCAGAGCTATTATTCATTCACGCTTATTATCCGATGCAAATTCAAAATAGAGTATCAAAGAATGATATAAAGCCAACTCTGGGAAACCGAAGACTCCAGAAGACCGATAATGGTAGTAAGAGACGTTAAGAAAAGGAATTGAAAATTGTTTAAGGCTCTTGCCAGCGCATCGCACTAAGCTAACTAAGAAGCACATAATTTTAGAACGAACTTTATCTGTTGTATTTAGTGTCGGACTAAGAAATGTATATTATAACGCAGTTTTATGACTATGGCCCAATTTTATGAAGAATGAGCTTGAGCTTAAAAAGCTCTTCTGAAGGTACAATTGTCGGCTCGATGACTTAAGTTGATAAATTTTTGCAGTTTGTCGAATATGAGGTAGCCTAGAATGTTGGGCATTCATCAACAGGTCAGTTTAACGGTCACTGAAGTGGATATACATACATATGTACATCTAAGTTACGGCAAGTTGTATTCTGTCGAGAAATTAGTTAGGTGTTTAATGTAAATATTATTTTCTTCATTGTGCAACATGCCAATCAAAGAGCTTTAGTATTGTGCCTAGTGGAACGAAATAGTGTGTCTTATATGTCATTAGTTTGCACCATTTTTAGTTTAACCCCCTTGTGTTTTAGAAATATTTCACTTTTTGATTTTAAAAGATTTAACATTATTCTTATAGTCGATTGTGCTGTGACAGCGAGTAGAATAACTCGCATGAGCTTATGCTCGAATAATCGACGTTAATCACCGTCCGTATTCGGTTATTGAAAATTTTTGTTATTACCATTGATATGATATATGAATGCATTCAAACATTTGAATGTATGATAAAACGAATATCAAAAAATTTCATTAAATGTGTGTGAAATCAGAAACAGAAAATAATCTGGCGTTTATCAAACTATTAGTATTCAAAGTATTTTTCTTATATTTTCTATTAATTTTTTTTCTTTAAAATATTCAACAAATTGTTATTAAAATTTTTGTTAAGAAGTTAGGTTTGCATCATTCTAGTTTTGCGATGTACTTTTATCAAAATTAATTATTGGCCATACCAACAAAAGTAAGTGGGGAAAAAAGAATAAGCCCAAGAGCAATCTCGTAATAGATTGGAAATTGTTTTACGAAACGCTGCAAACCGTGAACAATTATATAGATAGACATTTGACTTCTATATGTATGTATCTATATTTATATTAATATTCCTATATATCAATGGTGACCAAACATGCATCTCAATCCCATCCAACTGCAGCCCAAATGTGCGACGCTGAAATAATAAATCAAAAACGTAACGCAAATGTTCTAAACTTTTATTGATAATTAATTCCTTACACACTGTAAAATTTAAAGCACTCAATTAAAAGTATGTTCATTGCCTCTCATGGGATTTAAAAATCGTAATTTCATTTATAATCTTGGGCAACCGGTATCCAACTGTTCCCAGTTCATTGCATTATTGCATATATGATGGCATTGCTTCAAACTGAAAGAATAGAGAAATACAATATTAGAAGTAGACTGTAACAGTATTTTGAATGAATAAAGAGATTGTGAATAAGGCAGAAACAAATGTGCAACATTTTGATGAAAAAAAAAACGTCGGCTTAAGGAAAGTATCAAGACCAAATCGAACTCTAGTAGGAACAAAGCGGGGTTACCTGGGGACTGATACCCAGAGTGATACTTTCATTGAAAATGAAACATCCGGAGATGGTGAACTCGAAATCCGAATCGATAACGATGGAAAAGACGTTCCACTACCCGACTATGTTAAGCTTCAAATAGAGTTTGCCCGTTTAAAGAGCAACAAAGCGGCTGGAGCTGACGGTTAGCCGGCAAAGCTATTCAAACATGGCGATGAAGAACTGACGAGATGCATGCTTCAGCTTCTTTGCAGAATATGGTCGGACGAAAGCATGTGCGACGACTGGAACTTAAATATGCTCTGTCCTATCCATAAAAAAGGGCATTCATAAGCCTCTTAAATATAGCATATTGTGTGAAAGACTAAAGCCCACTGTCAAGAAACCGATTGGGCCTCATCAGTGTGGCTTTAGACCTGTGTAATTGTGCTGACTTCAACAGACACAGTATGTCTGAATTTGGCATTTCCGCAAAACTGGAGCTGGACATCTGCAGAATCGCATTTAGAATTGGGAAGGGCCTCTGTAAACCGTTCGGTACCAAATGGGATTTTAGACAGGGAGACTCTCTATATCTTCATTTGATGGTGGAGAAAATAATAACAGCTTCAGAGATTAATATACAAGTTACAATCTTTTACAACAGTGTACAACTACTGGCATATGCCGGTGATATTAATATTATAAGCTTTAACAACAGCACCGTTAGTTCTGCCTTATCCAGACTTAATAAAGAAGAAAGCGGGTAAACTATCATGTGTTTGCTAGAAGTTTTCTGCAATCAATCTAAAATCCAATCCTATCGTAACTAAGTTGTCAATATTTCGGGTTTTTAAACTTACTTGCATCCTTTATGGACAATGGTGTTGGGCACTATTCTTTCGCATATATATGAAGCTCCATTCAGAGTGCAGCAATCAGTGGAGCTAATCCATTTATTGGTACAGTACGATCGTTTCATATATCTTGAAATAGGATATTTATTAATATTTGGAATGCTATTATCCTTCGCTTTGATTGTAGTTTTGCTATCAACTGAAATTTTAGTTGTGAATTCGGGAGGACTCGAGTTTGTGGGCAAAACAGTTTTCATTTCGCAAGTCTCTGATGCTTCATCGCTCTTATCTGCGCACTCTTCTGTACCGTTACACACACCATGTATGTCTATGCAAGCACCATAATTACATTTGAATTGCTTGTTTTTGTCACACAGTATATTTGCACATAGCTGTGACCACTCATCGCTGCCATCGGCACAATCTTGAATGCCATTGCATTTGTCACTCAAATTTACACATTGACCTGACCAGCATTTCATTTGGCCCCAGCTGAAAAAGAAATAATATTGATCAATACCGGTTTTTGGAAAAGCCACCTTCGCCGTATAGGCCTTCAATAAAATATAAAAAAATCATACTTTGTTTGGTACAAAAAAAAAGGTACAACAGAAGATTACTTCCAAAATTTAGATAGAGCGAAAAGCTCTCGGCAGTTCACAAAAATGTCTGAGGAGGAGATGTGATGGCCTCTGAAACACAGTGTCGCTTCCATCACCTTTCTCTTGTATATATTTAGTACAGTTTTTAATTTTTCTAAAGTTCTTCGCTTTAAATTCACCTAAATTACGGTACTGAAGTCTGAATTCTATTAAAAATATGTATTTGTAACTCACTGTTTTAGTTTCAGTAATAATATGTTTGCCCTAAGATTGAGCTTAATTCATTTAAAATCTGATTATCTAAAGGGAAATGTACGGTTTTCTGAAAATTTATTATTTGAAACCTAAGAATTTGCTTGAAACTACTTATAGTCCTTTCTGATTACTTATCGCAAAAATAGTGGTCAATAGCGCTGGCAAACTGCATAGTTTATAAGGGGGGGGGGGGGGGGGAATGCATCTTACTTTCAAACGCAGTTCTAATTAAGCATAAATACAGGGTGCACCAACTATTGCGATAGCATTTCAAACTTGAATAGTTGAAGGAGGACTTGTATCTTTTCCCTTACAAAGTACAAATCACACAACGTTTCTTGCCACAAGGCAAGCTGCGGCGTCTAGCGTACGCTCATTTCGTCGAAAACATATTCCGTGATGGTGAGTTTTGGTTCAAAACTATCATGAGCGATGAAGCTCATTTCACATTGAAAGGCGCGGTTAATAAACCAAATTTTTGGGTCAACTGAAAACTTGTGATATATTCGAGCAGCCACGCCATGATCCAAAGATGTTGATTTGTTACGGTGTTTCGGTTGAAAAAATCATCGGGCGGTATTTTTCGAGAACGAGGCTGCCCACGCTGTTACGATCAATGGCATGCGATGCTGCGTGATTTTGTGTTAGCGGAAATGACTGATTATGATAAGACCCATTTCAATACATAAAAAAATGGTTTAAATTAAACTTAAATTAGCGCACTTAATAGTTGTTGGTTAATAATGAATTGAATAATACAACAACGGTTTAATTGGCAAATGTTGACGCATTGATTCGATCTCTGCCATAAGAAGTCTGACGAGGAGATGTGGTGATCTCCGAAACAGCTGACGCTTCTACCATTTTTTTTGTTGTATAACAAAAATATTCAATTAGTAGAAATACCTGGCCTTCAGTTTGCTTAATACTTTTAACCAAAATTAATTGTAGGGCCACAAAAACAATTATGAAAACTTATTTAATATCATATGCAATCGCAACTAATGATGCGCCCTTTATACATATGTAGTATACACATTTTAAGCGCTGAGCGATTGCCGACCGGGCCTCTGCCCCGATTTTTGGTCTACAATTCGATTTATGTATGTACATATGAACGTACGTAGTGAGCATTTGGCAAAAGTGACACTTAAAGCTATCACTTAGTGACTGGAAAGATAATATGATATAAAACCTCACTCACTTCGGAGCTGCCATACACAATCCGCTAAAAACTAATTTAGAAGTTAGTGCGTTATTTATTTTTAATTTTCAGCAAAAGTTTACTTTAATAATAATTAGGTATGTTATAACAAAAGTGTGCAAATTAGCTTTGCTGGCGAAAGAACAAGAACCCGAGTCCACAAATGGTTCAAATTCTTTCAAAAAACATTATGTTGAGTGTTCAATAATTTAAGAGGCAATTTTCTTAAATAAATAGTAGTAAATAGTTACGAACAATATTCAATAGCACATGATACTACTTAGACAAAAAACATTAACCTTTTTTTGCGTGGCTTAACTTTTTATTAAAAAAAAATATTTTTATAGATATATATCTATTGAGTTAAGGATAAGCTAGTCGGATAGAATTTCCATTATATTCATTAAAATTGGGATTTAAGAGTATGCTTCAGTTTCACCGTAGTGGCAAGATTTAAAAATGTTATAAGAAATGCACATTTTTCGGCGTTCTCACGAGGTCAAGAGTTACGTATTATATCATCATTGGTGACTGATTAGCCGGAGACGGAAGTGGAAGCTTTTATGAAATTATGTTAACATTTCTGGGTATATTGCTATGAGTAATGATTATATTATTCAACTGTATGTACACATTACACACATACATATACATATATGCAGTATATTTCTTTAATGTGCTTAGCTTAATAAGTCTTGTAGTTGCGATTATTTATTTTCCTTTACCTTGCGCAATGTTTCCGATTCTCGGACTCTTCAATATCCTCCTCTGTTGGCTCGTTCCGATGGCTACGACACATATCGTTGTCTTCATCTGATGAATCTACACAATCAATAACACCATCACACATGTTTTCGGCTGGTATGCAAGCACCGTAATTACAACGAAAAGATGAGGTAGAACATTTCATATTTTTGCAAATATTTTTTCGCTCGTCAGAACCATCTCGACAGTGTTTGGTACCATCACAAAGATTATGAATTTGGATACAGGCACCACTTTTGCATGCCCACTCGCCATCCTCTGCGGCACAATTTGATTGCTTCTTTGCAGCGAGTACTGCTGTAAGTAGAAAATATGTTCACTATTTATTAGAACAATGTGCACGAATTAAGCGAAGAGCGTATGTATTAGCGCACATACGATACATAAGTATGTATATATTTAGGTAAGTCGTTAGTAAAGATATTTGAGCAAAATTTATGCCTTTGGCTTCGGAGATGTCGAGTTTACTTTCATATATAATTTTACTGGAAAATTATAATTGCCGAATTAGAAGTAAAGCAACTAATCTCACTCGTATGAGAGAGAGTCGTAAACTTTGTTTAAACATTGTTGTGAGTTCTCATATGCTTAATTTGATCAGCGGGTGAGCAATTACACTAAAACGCTAAAGCTAATAACAGAGAAATCGCAATCCACCTCTTCCTCTTCTCTTACCATTTTTCGAACAGCTGTGTAGCTCGGAGATAAAGAATATCACTAATAGAATTTTGAACATTCTTGTTGTTGTGTAGTGTCTCTCGTCAATAATATACTAATCACATTATCACTTTTTGTAAATTTTATATACAAATGCAAAATGCAATGCTTTATAAATATATCATGCAATATATATATAAATGACGTTTTGCAAACGCTGAAGCGATTTTCGGCGATGCCAACCACTCGACCATTGCGGCCGTAATACACATCGAAACAAACAGCAAATAAATCTGAGATATACGAACTTTCTTTCACATGTATACATTTTTCTACGTACCACCATACCACGATCTCTCATGAGAACGGTTCGATCGATTCTGCTGACATTTGTATGGGTAACCCTATGCGGCTTTTTCACGTCTTCGTGAATTACATTATTCGTGCTTTCAATTACCAGCGCGAATCATGCCGCGATTTGACAGTTCTAATTTTTAGCGGATTCAATTTTTTGTTTGTTTTATTTAAAAGCGATGTGGAGGTGAAGATGTATATAAAAGTTCATGAAATATGGATTTAAATTCGTGATGAATGTACCAGCATCTGACAAAAAAAAAAATAAATAAAAAATATTAAATCCACACATTCAATCATAATTATATTATATATCTTGCTCTGCTTATAATTTCAACAAGCTGAATATCATCCGCCTGTACATTTAACTTCCTTAATAACTTGTAATTTCTTAATTTTCAAATTAGAAGTAGTGTTTGGTTTCAATTTAGTTGTTTTGTGTTTTCTTTTATGGGTTATAATTTTTTAGATTTGACTTGTCAGCTAATTTCAATATATTTCCGAGAAAAATGTTAGTCGGGAATCATTTACCAACATTTGGCGTAATTCGCTCTCAGAAGATTTCTATGGGTGTTGCCGTGGGAATGCCATATAATTCTTTTCCATTCTATGGAATACAATTTAGACACTTTGTTTTGAAGATGCTAGCGAGTATGTATTAACGTAGTATTAAGCATTTGTCAGAATCGACAAATTCTAAGTATTGAAAGAAAAACTCTCATATAACTATTGCAAATGACTCATGCATATACCTCGTGGCGAGCTTTTGGATTCGAAAATTAATTGAAAAAAATCGGGTAAAGACATTACAATAATTATGTTTGACGCTAAATTGGCACAGCTGTTCTTAATACTGACTTTGAGTATGAGCGCAAACTGTAGTACAATTTGCTTACAGTACTCAATGCTGTTAATCCATCTCAAGAAGGTACATATGTATGTAAGTATTCGTATAACGACTTTTACAGTGACATAAAATATTGAACAAAGAATTTGTCTCAAATTTTACATTTCATTTGTGAGTCGTCACGCACCTAAAAGTGGTAAAATGCATTCAAAAGCCGTCAAGGTGTGGTGGAAGATTTTCCTTGCGCTGGTCGGCCATTAAAGTCCTCAACTGAAAGTAATATCGCTAAAGTGTAGGAAAAAGTGACTAAAAATCGCCCTTTATGCTTGGGAGAGATCACCGTTGTATTTTATGTAACTCACGTTTAAATTCAACAAACATTTTAGATGAATGTTTGGTCATGAAATATGTAATTACAATACATACTCTCGTTCATATCCAAAACACCACAAAAAGCCCAGTCACTTAATTTGGACTTGATATTCATAAATTAGAATTGCGTAGTATTATGCGACAATTGAAAGAGTCATTATGAAACACCAGATTTAAGGAAAGAAAACTCGTGGAGTTTGTGTCACAAATTTGGCCAAAAATTCAACAAGTACCGTCGAACAACCGCCAGATGTTGAAGACATACTGTGATTTCGCGGCGAGATTTAAAATTAATCTTAGAAAATGCCTTTAATAAATATTGTATTTGCCTCACTTGTTCAACTATCAATATGAACTCGTAAGATATGTAACATAACTATTTAAATACATATATTGTACATGTACTGTTCGGAGAATGTCCTCTTCTGAATAGACCACAATGCTTTCTCTGCCATCGTTAAGAAGCAAGGGAAGCTGTGCGGTAAGTTTAATGCCATCTGATATTTAATTATATTCCTAATAAGTCAATTCTGTATTGAGTATTGTATTTGTATTGAGTTAAATTCGCAAGTTAGCGGACGGCAATAAATATTTCGATGATTGTGGTGAAGGAATCTACATCTACATTTTAAACGTGTTGTTTTCAACTTGTTTGAAATTGTAACATAACTTTCTTTTTTCGATTTCAAATATTTTCAATTTTTATTCTCAAACATGGAGTCTAAAACAACTAACTTACTTTACTGGCGTAGACACCGCTTACGCTTTTAAAACTGAGTTAATAACATAACGCCATTCGTTTCTTCGTTTTGCTGTTTGGCGCCAATTGGAAATACCAAGTACAGCCAGGTCATTCTCTGCCTGGTCTTACCAATGGAGAGGAGGTCTTCCTCTTCCTCTGCTTACATCGGCTGGCACTTCCTCGAAAACTTTGAAATCTGCAGTATTCGTATCCTTCCGCACCACATGACCTAGCCATCGTAGCCTGTGCTTCTTGATTCGCTGCACTGAATCAATGTCGCCGTATAACTCGCACAGCTCATCGTTCCGTCGTCCGCGTTATTCGCCGTTGTCAACGCGCAGAGGACCATAAATCTTATGTTAAACCTTTCTCTCAAAAACACCTAACGCCTACTTATCAGATGTTGTCATCACTCATGCTTCCGCACCATATAGCAGGACGGGAATGATGAGGGACTTGTAGAGTTCGTCGGAAGAGGCATTTACCTTCCAATTCCCTACTCAGTTTAAAGTACTACCTGTTAGCAGCATTGAACTCCAGCGCAGAATCACTCTTGCTTGGTTCGACTAACATCCAGAATTATAGGAAATCAATTTTTATAATTGCGGTCGCCCCTCGGCAGAGAATTTCGACCCCTCCGACTGTATTTCTGCTATGAAGTTAAAGCGTCTATTAAAAATCCATTGGAGTGTGCTCCGGTCTGAAAACCTTCCGTAAGTCGCCGTATTTTTTCGTAGAGTTTTCGAAAATTACCCTTGTCGTCCAGGTTCTCAAGCTATTTATACTCACGGATATCGGCCTCTTTCTTTTTTTGTCTGTAGATGCGTTTTGCTTCCATCTTCAGTTCTCGGTACAGAGAGAGCTATTTAAAATTAATCTTAGAAAATGCCTTTTCCCTATGTATCGTTAGCTAACTAACCTAATTATATAATTAAATATGTATTTTTATAGGGTTTAAAGAATTTTAGTCAAACACAATTGAATTCAAATAATCAAAATTTTTACTCCAATCCACGGATTTTAAATAAAGATAAATTAGAAACATATATCCTGGTAACACCAACATCCAAAAGATATGAAAAATTGATTTAAATAAAAAAAAGTTGTATTTTCTGATTGCGGTCGCCTCCAGCACAGGGATTTTTAACCTCTCCGAGTGTATTTCGGACATGAAGTAAAGGCTTTTCATAGCAACCCATCAGCCGTTCGGAGGTGGCTTAGTATTAACTGTAGGTCCCTCCATTTGAAGGAAGACCATCAAAACGCAAAACCACAAATTGAAGGAGTACTTCGTACGAAAATCGCTTCAGTGGTTACAAATAAGTTCATTTTAAGGTTGTAGCCTAGAAGTGAAAAGCGTCTAATTTGGACTGTTTTCAGTGGCAATGTTTACTTCTATGCATATGGGAATAATGGTCCGTTCTTGCCGGTTCTGACAAAAGATCGTTTAAATATGAGCGAGCAGCTGTGTACGAAGCTTGATAGAAATATTTCAGAAGCTTAGCGATTAGCTTGTACAAAAACAGACTGACAACCGGATAAATGGAGATGGCTAAAACAACTGAACTCATCATTCGGCTTATATCCACCTAAATTTTCTATGTTGGGTTCACCTCTCCTCCTTGTGGTATTTACAAGACAAAGATATTTTAAAGACATTAACATATTATTCTATTCAATTTCTTCCATGGCAAACTGTCAAATTAAAGTTTTTTGAATCGACCTTAAAAAAATATATTATGAAATTCTTCTTCTTTATAATGAAATTAGAGCGTTAAAAATCGATTGCAAATGTAGGCACTGTTTATTGTAACCAGAGTCAAAAAATTAATATGTCATAACTTTACCAGAGATATTCTGCTTGATGACATAAAATATTTCGTCTCGTCCTCGTTCTCGTTCACTACCAGACCCATTCGCCTAGCTGCATAATAAAGTCTGAAGGTAACCGAGCTAACGGTCCTATAATATCAATATCATCGGCATACGCCAGTAGCAGTACAGTCTTGTCAAATCGAAGAAACAGCATAATAAAGAGCCACCCTGTCTAAAACATCGTTTGGTATAGAACGGCTCGGAGCCGATTTGGTGGGTTTTCCCTGGGTCGAAAGCCACATAACTTGATGTATTTTCTTGTGCACAAATGTAGTACCACAGACAACCACATTTCGGGCCTTGGCGCAGTCGATCAACCTAGAGGCGTTTGGGGAAGTTTTGTTATGGAGGCTGAATTTGTCGACTGTTGTGCCAAAAATGTCTACTTTATTCTTTCGAGGACATTGACCAGTTAGGCAGCAGCACCTTCACGAACCGGACGTTCCAGGCGCAATTAAACGTTGCCTGCTATTTTCGAATTCATTCCAAAGTTGATTTGAGCAAATCATGGGGTTCGAATATGCATTCAAATTGAATTTGGATTTCGAAATGGCGAATAGAGCTACTTGCTGGTAGCTCTTGTTAGTTGTAATTAATATTTGTCAAGTTAAAAGATTTCACAGTTTTCTAAATGTTAATTGATTAATAATAATAAATTATTTTGTTACTTAACACTTAATGATTTCTTTAATTAAAACTAATTTGGTTGAAATATTTAATTTAATTTATATCAAATTAAAACTTTACAACCTAGTTTTTATTTATTTATTTTTTTAGCAATTTTTTTTTGTTATATTATATACATACACATACAAATAAGCACACACGGACCTGATTGTAATTGGAGGCATTGGCAAACGTTTTTTTTACCGGAATTTCAGAGCATTTTACCATTATTGTTGTACGCATGCTCCACCTCTTCAAGCCGAATGGTGATGTTGTATTTATTACTATTATTTTTTAGTTTAATTTTTATGCACACATTCATGTATCTATGTACATCCAAACATATATATAAATTTCGTGTGTATTTGTGTGCGTGCTCTTGCACACACCCACCCATGTAGGCGTCGGCCGTACG